GGTTGATAAATGAGTACACACAGAAGGACTACACACCTATGCTTGTCACCAAGCTGTCGTCGACTCTACCTTCACATCAATAAGGAATGATTCCGGATGATTAAAGCATATTTCACTATCAACGTTTCGACCAGACAACATTGGTCATCCTCGGGGCAAACGAATAATATACGTTTAATTAGCGCAGACGCTAAATGAGACGACTAGACACCACGAATAAAGTTACGACTGTAGCAGAAGATACTGAACCAAGAGTAGTGGTTCAGAAATGAGTTCGACGGGGGCTGAGAAACTGATATATGATAAGTGACAGGAAATCTTGGGTACTATGTGCAAATTAATAAAAAAACCTGCACCGATAGGAAGCATGGAAGCTACTGCAGATACCACTTGAAACAAACTGTCTTAACCAGAAGCGAAAAATAGCGCACAAACTGCTTAACCATTCTGAAAATAAGTGTAATTCAAAACGACAGTGTCTTGCAGGTCACAAATTATAACTGATGCATTATACGGTAATAGTCGATTACTACAGCATGTTGCCGGCTGAAACTCGATCTCTTTTTCCAATTAGCCGAGAAAGCTAAATCTGCTTTCGGCGACTGGCTTACATAAGAAAGCTCTTTGCGGCCGGTGGGCTTGCGTAATTAGTTACCTGATGTGCGTCAAACTGAACGGCCCAATTATAGTAAGCATAACATAATAACGCTAAGAGAAAATGGAAATTAATTTTTCAGTGATCAAACTCCGAGCTGTTTTAAGATTCACAGACAATTACCATTCATCAAGAAACGGGGGAGCGATTGTTGCAAACATAACAAATCTTTGACTGTCAGTCAGCTTCAGCTCATATGTCAGTTCTCGTTGAGCCTAATGGTCCATTTAGAAAAACAGTATAATTGTCAAGGAAGAAAGTTTGTGACTGGGCGTCATTTGGGGGCGGCGGCATAATGTAAAAGAGGTCGGCCTCGAATCGGATGTGCCGGGTTCGATTTCAGAGAAAGGGTCAAGCTTCGCCTTAATCGCGGATTCCCTTGAACAACATAAAACCATGCGGTGCAAGCAGCGTACGAACGGGTAAAAACCCTCACTTGCAAACAATAGGGCAGCACGGTTCTCTGATATGCTCATACTAGAATGGGCGAAAAGTACGACTGTCTGGTGAGAGCACATCGTAGGACTGCAAATCACCTTGATCCACCTGATAGTTGCTTTTTCTGTGTCATAATTAGCAGAAAGGGTAACAGATGTTGTCACTGTAATTGTGGCGCTGATCCAGGTTTCTGTACCATCGAACAGGAGTGTTTTATTCTTTTACAAACAAAATCCGCATCCCTGTGGCAAGCCAGCGTGTAATCTTCCATTTCTTTCCCACAGAGTGATATCCATGTATCTACCTCGGGATAAGGAAATGTCAAGGGACTGCGAAGGAAATGAAAACCTTGATGACCAGTTTTCTCTGATACTGTATAAACATCCAACAACACTGCTGTTGAAATTAAGAATGGTGACTAAGGATCAGAACAGTGTAGTTTGTAACGCCATGTGAAACCGTTATACAATAGCTCGGCTATTTCAGTTTTGTTCATAGTTTTGTCTACGTTCTTTGTCTTATTCTCACTGCCATCCTCTTGAGCAGATGTTTTTCCAAGGATCCAGAGGATTCTTCGGATATCTTGTTACCATGCAGTAAACGCTTTAATTTTCAACCAAGCATTCCTGGAATGTCTTACCTGGTCCGCAGTCTACTCATTACCATCTTAAGGCATTTTTATGATGCAGTGTTCAAAAGCCTCCCAGTCAGCCAGAACTCAATCCGGCAGCTTCCTTTACTTTGGTAATTCTGAACCTTCCTTTTCGATTTCATGATAACATCATTACCGAGGAACCGTACCCAGTTTATTCCAAAGTTTCATTCTCCATTAAGAGAGTAGATGGCATGATGCGAAATTACCTTGTACCTTGTGTCGAGCACCTACATGTCACTTACCATAAACGGTAACACTGAATAGTCATAATCACTGAGTCCATACCAAACGGCCGGAAGAAGGACTCGCGTCTGTAAAGATGGACGTACCTCTCGCTCATTCTGATATGTGAACACCATAGTTCCACGCTGTACTTGTTGTTCACAAGTCAGCGAGTTGCTGCCCATTTATA